AAAAAAAAAAAAAAAAAAAAGAGATGTCCTAAAAATATAATGAAATAAAACAATAAATTTTTAAGGTTTACACACTGAAGATATAGAATTGACTACACCTTCAAGAGTTTACTGTTTAGTTGTTATTGTTGTTGTTGTTAGGTGCCTTTGAGTCATCTCTAACTCATAGCAACCCTATGTACAGCAGAATGAAACACTGCCCAGTCCTGTGCCAGCCTCATGATGTGCGCAGTGTGGCTGTCACTCCAATGCCTATTGATTGTGAACTGTCCAGCTGGTCCTCTTGGACTGTGTGTGATCCTTGCTATACCTCAGCCCATCGTTGCAGCCACTGTGTCACTCCATATCACTGAGGGCCTTCCCCTTCTTTGTTGACCCTCCACTTTACCAAGCATGATATCCTTCTCCAGGGAATGGTTCTTTCTTACAACATGACCAAAATAGGTGGGATGAAGTCTGATCATTCTCACTTCCAAAGAACATTCTGGCTATACTTCCTCCAGGACTGATCTGTTAGTCCTTTTAGCAGACCCTCATACTCTTAGCATTCTTCTCCAACACCACAAATCGGAAGCATCAACTCTTTGGTTTTCCTTATTCATTGTCCAGCTCTCACATACATAAGAGGTGATTGAAAACACTATGGCTTGGATTAGGTGCACCTTAGTCTTCAAGGAGACATCTTTGCTCTTCAGAATTTGAAAGAGGTCTTTTGCAACAGATTTGCCTAATGCAATATGTTGTCTGATGTCTTGACTACTGCTTCCATTGGTGTTGATTGTAGAACCAAGTAATATGAAGTCCTTGACAACTTCAATCTTTTCTCCATCAGTCATGAAGCTATTTATTGGACCAGTTGTGAGGATTTTTGTTTTCTTTATGTTGAGGTGCAACCCATACTGCAGACTGTAGTGTTTAATCTTCATTAGTAAGTGCTTCAAGTCATACTCAGTTTCAGCAAGCAAAGTTGAGTCATCTCCATATCACAGGTGGTTAATTAGCCTTCCTCCAATCCTGATGCCACATTCTTCTTTATATAATCCAGCTTCTTGGATTATTTGCTCAGCATACAAATTGAGTAAGTATGGTGAAAGGATACAATCTTGACGCACTCTCTTCCTGATTTTAAACCATGCAGTGTTCCCTTGCTCTGTTTGAATGACAGCCTCCTGATCTTAGTACATGTTACTCATGGGTACAATTAAGTGTTCTGGAATTCCCATTTTTCTCAATGTTATCCACAATTTGTTATGATCCACAAAATCGAATGCTTTTGCATAGTCAGTAAAACATAAATAATCATCTTTCTGGTATTAATCAGTTTATTGTTTGGTATAAAGGTAAATAATAAAGGGTATTGCACAATAAACAGTAGCATACAGAGGCAATTGCAAGTCATGAAAGGGTGCCTTATCTAATTTGAGCTGGGGTTGAAGAGAAGTCAAGGAAGGCTTCTCAACAGAAATGGCCCCTGAGTAGAGTTTCAAAATATGAGTAAGAGTTAGGCAGATGAAAGAAGTAGGAAAAAGTTGCTCCTGCTTAAGAAAGCTGCAGGCATAAAAACCCAGAGGTGACAGAGAGGGTAAAACAACCAAAGAAATGCAAATGATCAGTAGGGCTGGAGTGGGAGAAGTTTTAGGCCAGGTCTAGGTCATGTTGTTGTTTTTATATGCCCTTGAGTCAGACCGGACTCATAGTGACCCCTCCTTGGGTTTCCAAAGCAGTATCACTACGGAAGTAGATTGTCCAACCTTCCTTCCAAAGAGTGGCTGGTGGGTTTGAACTGCCAGCCTTCTGGTTAGCAGTCAAGTGTCTTAGGCACTACATTACCAGGGAGGCTGTGAATACCATGAGCCTAACTTGAATGGTTTTAAACTGGGGAAAGACAAGTCAGATTTGTTTTTTTAATAACTATCCATAGTTGTATCATGAGAGGTGGGTTGAAAGCGCATAGTCAGAGTCAGGAACCCTAATGAGATAGCTACCAAAACCATTGTCATCAAGTCAATTCTGATTCATAGTGACACTTTAGGACAGAGTAGAACTGCTCCGTAGAGTTTCCAAGGCTGTAAATCTTTACAGAAGCAAATTGCCTCATCTTTCTCCCACAGAGCAGCTGGTGGGTTCAAACCACTTACTTTTTGGTTAACAGCCAAATATTTTAACAACTGCATTAACAGAGTTCCTCAGGAGGTTACTATAGTGACGATAAACAGATGTGTTTTGGAAAAAGCCTGAAGTCTTCTTGGAAGGATCTAACTGCTAATAAGAAGCCCACAGACCAATGGTTCACTGATTAAATCAACTAACATTTATTAAGGATCTAAGGTACCTGACTGCTAACCAGAAAGCTAGTGGTTCAAACCCACCAGCCACTCCTTGGAAGGAAGGTTGGGCAATATATCTCAGAAACCCAAGGAAGGGTTGCTATGAGTCGGATCCGACTCGACCGCACCTAACAACAACAACAACAGCAATGTACCAGGCATTGTAGGTAATGTTTCAGCCAATCTGGCTCAACAGCAGGGTGCCTGGAAGCTTAGTGCTTAGAACCTGAGTACTTACCCTTTTCTTCTGGCAGGGATCACAAGTAGTCCAAGAGGACCAGCTGGACAGTTCACAATCAATAGGCATTGGAGTGACAGCCACACTGCGCACATGTCTGCTTTTGGCAAGGCTCTCATTGACTGCATTTGACTCAAGGGAATGTGGCCTTTCACCTCTACAAAGGCATTATGAGAGAAGAGAGTCAAGTATCAGAAATAAATTAAGTATACATTCAGCCATCTATACATTCATTCAATATTTGCTCATTTATGCAAAGCTATTAGCTTCTCATTCAATATTGGTTAATTCATCCAACAAATATCTATTGAACACCCAGAAATTGCCTGACACTATGGCTAGCTGTGGATGAAAGAGTACTGAACACGGATCAGAAGACAGTCCACCAGTGGCTGGGTGATCTTGCTCTGATTTATTAACCTCTATAAGCTTCATTTTTCTTACCAGTGTAATCATACTTACCTCATAAGCCTATTCCTAGGATTAAATAAGATAGCATATGTGATGTTGTTGTTGTTGTTGTTGTTATGTGCCATCGAGTCGGACCCGACTCATAGCGACCCCTCCTTGGGTTTCCGAGGCAGTATCACTACGGAAGTAGGATTGCCCAACCTTCCTTCCGAGGAGTGGCTGGTGGGTAGCATCTTATAAATCCTAAGGTGTTATAGATACATAGGGAATACAACAGTAACTAGATGTTTGATTCTAGGTGATTCATTCTGTGGCCCATCTCTGGGCTTTTGTTTTATCTCCTGGAAAAAGAGAGACTGGAACTAGGTGTTTTTTAAGGTGTCTTATGTTGGTGGCATAGTGCCTTAGGCATTTGACTGCTAACAAGAGGGCTGGTGGTTCAAATCCACCAGCCACTCCTTGGAAGGAAGTTTGGGCAATCTACTTCCATAGTGATACCTGCCTCAGAAACCCAAGGAGGGGTCACTATGAGTCAGATCCAACTTGATGGCAGTGTGTTGCGTTGTTGTGTTATGTTAAGAAGGAGCTTTGGTGGTGTAGTGAGTGGTTAAGGCATTTGGCTGCTAACCAAATGGTCTGTGGTTCAAACCTACCAGCTGCTCCATGGAGGAAAGATGAGGCAGTCTGTTTCCATAAAGAATTTCAGCCTTGAAAACTCCATCAGGGTCACTTTGAGTTGGAATTGACTTGATGGCAGTGAGGTTTTTTTTTTTTTTTAATTTTTTTTTTTTTTAATCATGTTAAGTATCAATGAAACACTTGCTTAGAATAAACTGTGTTCAGGGTACTGTGCTACAGGGAACAAAAAGAAATATAACACACAGTTTCTACTTTCTGGAACTTATAATTTTCCCTAGAGTAGGAGAAGAGAAATATATCTCAAGTTTTAGCTCTATGGGGCTTTATCAAATAGATAAGGTTTTTAAGTATGCAGGCTCCATGGCCAGATTTGTACATTAGAAGGTCACTGACTGCAGTGTGAAGGCTGGATGGTAAATTTACTTGCAGGAATAAGGTTTAGCAATTCTGAAACTACTTTATATGTATCATGCTGTACACTGCTACTGCTGCTACTGCTGCTGTTATTAGTTATCTCGATCCAACTCATGGAGATCCTATACATGTCAGAGTAAGAATTCTCCATAGCATTTTCAAGGCTTTGACCTTTCAGAAGCAAATCACCAGGCCTGTCTTCTGAGTCATCTCTACATGGGTTTGAACCACTAATCATTTGGCTAGTAGCTGAGTGCTTAACTGTCTGTGCCACCCAGTGACTCCATTGGAGAGAGCCTGGAGGCAGGGAAAACAAGTAGGAGGCCCCTGCAGTGCTGAAGAATGATGTGAGCCTGAACTAGGGTAGTGGCCAGGAGAGGGAGAATAGGAAGGACAGGTTTAGGAAACACTTCTCGGGTGAAATTGATAGATAGTGGTGGTTAATTGGATGGGGGAGAGTCAGCGAGGAAGGAGTTTAGGTTAATGCCAGTTTCAAGTTTGAGTGTATGCATGGATTGGAGGAAAGGAGCATGTTTGTTGGTGAAGATATGAGTTTTGGTTGGGAAAATGCTGACCTCTAGGTTTCTATGGGGCATCTATGTAGAGTCATTCAGTCAGTAGTTGCATATATGGATTTGGAACTCAGAAGAGAGATTTATACTAGAGATACAGATCTGATCATCAAATGCTATGGGAGAGGATAAAACTGTTCTCAAAAGGAGAAGCAGGTCAAGAGTCAGACCTTTGAGAACATCAGCACCACCAGCAGACCAGAAGAGACTGATGCCACATTATTTCAGGGCAGGCAGAGTCTTTAGAAGTGAGTAGGGGCTAGGCCTGGGGGGCAGACAGGATTATGTCAACAGAGCAGTCAAGCAAACATGAGACCTGATATATGCCAGAATATAAGGCAGTGCTTTTTGTTGGGTTCCTGGCACACAGTGAGACATTCAGTAAAAAACAGTGAATGAATGAGCATGTTATTTAATCTGCCTAGGCCTCCAGTTTCCCCATGTATAATATGATGGGTGTAACATTATTCTCATTTTTTTCTTTCATTTGAAAGAGTATATGACTCTGTAAGATTTGTAATTGTGTTTATTTTCAAGCCAAGAAAGAAGAGAGCAGAAACTGAGATTTGCTGAGCACCTGTGAGTCGGTCAAGCATTGTGCTAGGTGTCTTTCCCCATGTTAGCTCACTCAATTCTCACAGCAATGCTGGAAAACAGCTCTGTAGCATAGCCACTTAACTGAGGATGTAACTGACCAAGAGAGATGGTGACCTGTCCATTGTCATGCAGCTTGTATGTGGTGGGTTGAGATCTTAGCTGTGGTTTGTTTGATTTCAGAACCTGTCTTTGTCCATTGCCCCATGCTGCCTGGAAGAGTACCAGATGGGCATCAACTCATCCTCTCAGATCTCTAGGTTAGACCTGTTTCATCCCTGTATCCAAAACTGAGTCTTTAGGGAGAGGATCACACAGTTTTCACCATCTCACATACATAGTATGTCACTCCAGACAAGGTCATTAACAATACATTCTCACTCGGCAAAAGTCCTAAAAAGAGGCTAATATTAACTACAGTGAAATCCATCTCCGTGACCACCCCAGAGACCAGCAAAAATCAATTGCCTAGTAAAGCTGGATCTTTAACTAAAGGTCAAAGACGCTACTGGAAACCACAGGTGGATACTTTGAAATGGTTACTTGAGACAGGATGCAGCCTACCAGTGGAGGGTGGGGGTGCTTCAGAACATACTCTTATCTACTAATTTGCCGGGGTTTGACAAAACAATATTGTCTGTGATTTGGCTTCTCCAGAGTATGTATTTGACAGCTCTGCAGGATACCTCCTTCCTACTTCATCTACGAAACAATTACATTGTGTTTTTAGCAACTGTCCACCCAATTCAGGGGCCACAGTTGAGACTGAGTGGATAAGTAATGTGAACATACACCATTAAGAGGCACGGTTATTGTCCTCTCTGAGATTTGAAAGCTTGTTAATGGGCAAGAGGATCACTTATAGAAGGAAGTTGGTGAAAAGTAGTTATAACCACCAGGGCTCTCATTTTTGTACCCAATTTTCATTATGGAGGGGCAATATAATGAAGTAATCAGCAGAATAAATAGTATGTTTGTAAATTACATTGGATGAGATGTGTGTGGTTTATTAGCACTACAGAATTCAAATCTAAAAGGAAGGCTAGTATTTAATTGCATCTTTAATTCCTTAGTAAAGCATAAGAAAAAAACAAAACCAGTTACATCAGGACCTCTCTGTCTGGTTATAACACACGCCTTTCACTTCTATGGATTTCTGTAGAAAGCAACCAGATGGACATTCTGACTGACTCACTTGACTACTCTCATTCAAAGTCTTGTATGTTTTTAATTTTGAAAAGTTAAACACATCTATAGAAGTTTAGAAGATCAAATAGTAAACACAACTCTGTACTCACAACCCAGGATTGGCAATTGCTAACATTTTGACATACTTGCTTCAAGTCTTATTATTATTATTTTAATAATAAAAAATAACAACCTATACATTTGACATCTTCTTTTTACACCAGCCTCAGGTCCATTTCCCTCCTCTCCTCTTCAGAGGAAATTATCATCATGAATTTGGTATGTATCCTTCCAGTATTTTAAAATATTTTACATATGCTTATATACACACACTCTGTAACATAGCTTTGAGTGTGCTTTACTCATACTGTGAAAATTATTGTGCAACTTGCTTTTGCCAATCAGTTTTGTGTTTCTGAGTCCTATTTATGCTGATATACAAAGAGATGTAGTTTATTTGTTTTATCTGAATGTTCCATCATAGGAAATACATTGCATTTAATTTATTCTTTTTCTTTTTGAAGGATACTTATATTTTTCTGATGTTTCACAATTGCAAATAATGCTACAGTAAATACCCTTATGTAAGCCCTTGGGATATTGCTTCTTCTGCTATGGACTGGCTGGGATGCACCTTCCTTGGGCTGCAGGAAATGCTGTTGCCAGCCAGCACTAGGACATATGTCCCTGGGCCCACATCTCCCACTCTTTCTAATGGGTGTCTCTGATCAAAATAAAGATGAATCCCTTGAGTGTGGCAGGATTAGGTCAGCAGTAAATTGCAAGCCATGAGCTTATATAGATGGGGTGCGTCAATATATTTTGGTTTTCTGTAGAAATGCCCTGACACAACAACTTTCTTGTCACACACAATTTGTTAGGCAGCTGCATCCCCTTTTCAAATAGCATCCTTCCTCTCTGCTAGAAGGGGCAGCTTCTGGGTGGCAGGTTTTCAATTTCTCTTCTCTCTGTCATTTGCTGTTGTAGACAAGAAATTTAAAGCAACATCTCAAGGTAACAAATGTGTGGCCCAGAGATAGAGCAATGGCCCGGGAGTCTAGCAAGTCAAATACACAAAGGCAGGTAGAGAGGGAATAGTGCATTCGTGTGGGACAGAAAGGTGCAGGGAGAATACAGGCGTCCCAAACTGGAAAAAAAAAAAAAAATGGGTTTAAACCCATATTCTCAATATTCTTAATATTTGAACAGTCCATATTTTGAATCCATATTCTGCCACATATTAAGTAAGTTGCCTTGGCATACTATCTCTCTGAATCTCAGCTTTCCTCTTTGTAATACTGGAAATAATGTCACTTACCTTGAATTACCGTGAGGATTAGAGTTAATATATCTAAGTGCCTAACTCAGAATGGTCATCAACGAGTGACAGCTCTTATCACAATGTGAAGACTACTTCATCTGACTTCATGACAATAGCAAACAAAAACTAGATCTTCCTTGGCTAATCTTAGGGCAGTCTCAGCATTATCTGTTCCAGAACTGAAGACTACCCTTCCACTTCATGTGTAGAATTCAAATGCAACCATATTCAGGACTGTTGCATGGGAACCATGGGTAGAGGCTAGAACATTAGCCTTGGATTCAGGTGAGGGTTTGAATCTCAGGTCTTAGTAAATGTGAGTGTATTGTTTCTTTTAAGTGCCAGTTTGCTCTCCTACATAGTAAGAGGTCCCTCATGACATTGTTGTGAAGATGAAACAGGTTTCCCATCTTACAATCTGCTCATCCACTCACATTTCCACCTCCAATCTCAGAGTGAACTTCCTAATATAAAAATCTGATCATGTTGCTCTTTGCCTAAAACCTTTCAATGGTTACTCCATTGCCTAAAAGATAAAGTTCAAGCTCTTTAGCTGGTGCACTATCTACCAGTTGCTGTAGAGCTGACTGACTCATGGAGACCCCATCTGTGTCAGAGTATAACTGTGCACCACAGGGTCTTCAATGGCTGATTTTTGGAACTAGATTTCCAGGCTTTTTTCCAAGGGGCTCTGGGTGGAATCAAGCCACCAACCTGTCAGTTAGCAGCCTCGGGCATTAATTTGTTGCACCACCCAGGAACTCTAGCTGGCAACTGGTGACCCCAACTCTGACTATGATCTGAGTCCTCCTTACTCCTACTCTGTTTCCTCCCTTGTATCTTCCACCTTGGCCTGTGCTCAAGGCTTAACTTTGTGTACTTGAAGCTCCAGGAATAAGCCAGGCTCCTTCACACTTCCTTGCCTTTGCCAGTGCTGCTCCCTCTGCCTGGAACAGCTTTTATCACCTTAATCATTTGCCAAACACCTACTCATAAGTAAAGATTCAGCTCAAGCATAATCTCTTCTGGAAGTCTTTCTAGACTCCACTCCCAGTAGAGCTGATCCCTCCTTCCTTGTTTCCCCCTGCTCCTGTCCCATCTCTTGCAACAGTGCACACAAGCCACATTGCCTTTCTTATTGAGAACATGGGCTCCTTGGACTACCTCATCTCTGTATGCTCAGGAAGGAGCCTTGCTTACACAGGGGTACAGTACTGCAGGTGGGATTGCTATGGTTCTCTTAAACTCTTAGTTCCGGATAAATTTATTTCGGTCTTGAATATTTCTCTCTGCACATGTAGTACACACAAGGAAGGGGTTGGCAACTTGGTTATTCTTGGGGCTAAGTTAGGATTTTTGATAATTACAATAGCTATTATTTACTGAGTACCCAATGGTTAGTGAATATTCATAGCCATAGTTCCTGGGTGATGTCCAGGGGGAGCTGAGTATTCAACTGAGCTGAGACCAAGGGGGGCAATCTATAGTACTCCTTGCACTAAGTGAGAAGATTGTGTCCAGATAGCACTTATGAGCTGAGTAACAGAATGCAGCACTCACAAAGAGGCCCAGGAAGCCTGCAGAGCTCTTCAACACCTCATGGTAAGGGTATCTCATGCATGAGGAGGGTCCCCAAATTGCCAAGTCAGTTATGCTTTTTTTCACTGGACCTCAAGTTTGAGTTTTCACTCAGGTATTCTCTTTAGCCTATTTTGTAGCCTATTAATAGATCACAAGAAAATGATGAATGTTGTGAGTTGAAATGTTTCTCTCAAAAAAAACCTATGTTGAAATTGTAACCTTCACTGCCTAGGAATGTGACCTTATTTAGCAATACGGTCTCTGCAGATGTAATCAAGTCACTGCCATCAAGTTGGTCCTGACTCATAGTGACCCCTCCTTGGGTTTCCGAGGTGGTATCTCTACAGAAGTAGATTGCCTGATTTTCCTTCCAAGGAGTGGCTGCTGGGTTTAACCACCAGCTTTCTGGTAGCAGTCAAGTGCCTTAGGCACTATGCTACCAGAGCTCCCCATACTGGACTAGAAAACCAAAAACCAAACCCAGTGCCATCGAGTCAATTCCAACTCACAGAGACCCTATAGGACAGAGTATAATTGCCCTATAGGGTCCAAGGTTGCAAATCTTTACAGAAGCAGACTGCCACATCTTTTTCCCACTGGACAGCTGATGTGTTTGAAATGCCAACATTTTGGTTAGCAGGTGAATGCTTATACTGGCCTGGGGGGGGTTCTTAATTGAGTGACTGGTGTCATAAAAAGAGAGGACACACAAAAACACACACACTGTCTTCATGTCTTCATGTGAAGACAGAGGCAGGGAGTGGAGTGATATAGCTACAAGTTAAGGAATGCCAACAATTCTTGAAAAGAATTGGAAGCTAGGAGAGAGGTAAGGAACGGATTGTCCCTCAGATCCTCCATAAGGAGCTAATCCTGCTGCCATTCTGATTCTGGACTTCTAGCCTTCAAAACCGTGTGAGTGAATCAATTCCTGCTGTTTAAAGCCACTCAGTTTTTGTTCCAGCAGTCCTAGGAAATGAATCCAATGAAATAAGTAGTTAGCATTTAATTGCTGGAACATACAGAATGTGTGTGTGTGTGTGTGTGTTTGTAAGAAAGAGGGAGAGATAATGTGAGAGGCTAAAGAATTTGGATTGATGAACTTGTACAGTGGGTCACTCATACATTATAATCACTGATATGAATTGGCTCTTATTTTGCATACATAACAAACCTTCTTTTGCATAAAGAATCACAACCTGGCTTTGTTCAGAATACCGAACAAATATCCTATTCTTCTCAGCATGACAAAATACATTTAAACATGTCACTTTCTTACAGGAACTTTTGTTGAAGTCAGCCGCCTGATTCCACAATAATTTGAAGAGAGTTGTGGATATTATTTTATCAGATGCATGCAAATTGCTTCAAGAAACGTTGCTCACTCAATGGCACATGACAAAGAGATGGCCAGCATGATGTGGCATTATATTCCCAGTCATATTATTGATTGTGGAATCATTTGTAACCATCACTTACCTCGAGCCAGGCAGAGTGAGAAAAACCAGTACAGCACAGAGAAGAAACAGCTCTGCCAGCACCCTCTGAGCCCCTGTCCTGTGTGTCTTCATTTCCCTATGTGACAAGAGATCCAGCCAGTAGTCCTAGATCCATGAGGGGCCTGCCTTTCAGAGTGTCCACCTGTCCACCTCTGTCTCCTCAGAGTAAACAGTTAGCAAAGTAAACAGAAAGTAACCAATGACTGGAAGCTTTTTAGACTTTGCACAGATCAAAAGACATACCTGTGACTCTGGAAACCGATGAGAATGATGGAAAACTGCAGCAAGTTGATTTTTATTCATAGCATAACACACTTTGGCACAAGGAGTGTGGGCTTTGAATCCAGACTGCATGGGTTCAAATCCTTCCTCTGCCTCTTAATTGTTTCAGGGCTAGGCCAAGTTATTTCACTTCTGTGCCTCAGTTTTCTCAGATGCAAAATGGTGTGGTTGTCAGTTGCCATTGAGTCAGCCCTAACTTGTCACCACCCCATGTACAAAGGAACAATATGCACTATCTCAATGATCAGCTAGGGTTGGATAGTTGTGCTCCACAGGATTTTTATTTGCTGATTTTTGAAAGTAAATCACCAGGACTTTACTCCTTGTCTTATTCTGGAAGCTCCGTGGAAACCTGTTCAGCATCACAGCAACACACAAACCTCTGCTGTCAGTTGGGCAGTGACTTCACACGAGGTGCATTGACTGAGAATCAAAACCTGTTGTCCCACATGGAAGGGGAGAGGCCTCCCATTGAATCCCCAATAAAGGATTAATATAAATTATACAAGTGAAGTGCTTAGAACAGGCACATGTTGAACACTGAGACACATGCACTATAATTACTAAGTGGAATGCAGGGTTTGGAGTTAGACTGGTCTAGGTTTGAATCATAACTATGTGATTTTGAATAAGACACTGTTTTGGCTACTTCATGCTGCTCTAACAGAAAATACCACAACTTTAACAAACAGGAATTTATTCTCTTACAGTTTAGGAGGCTAGAAGTCTACGTTCAAAAAGTCATGCTCTAGGGGCTGGGTGAAAGCCCCTCGACCTTGGGCTTCAGTTCTGCCTCTTGCTCCTGGCCACTGGAGCTAGAGGCATCTCTTCACTCAGGCAGCTACTGGCTGCTGAGGCTAAAAAGCCCAAGATTGACAAGTAAAAAGACAGTCCCAATATTACCAATCCACATAGCAGGGCACACATTCACGTCCATTAACAGCCCCAAGATCAGCAGACAACACGGCAGACTGCTGAATGACAACTTGGTTACATGCAGGATTCAAGCGTGCCAAAAGTTGGAGACCTTCCTCACAGCTGCTTCTTGTATACTGGAAGCAGACCACATCCCTAAGGCAGCTACTCAGATGCTCCAGTAGATTCCACCATGGAGCTGATTACCAATCTCACCATGAGGAATAACTACATCCAGCTACCCAGCCACTCAAAACCAGGCCCAGCCAAGTTGACACACAATTACCACAGACACCAGGGAACTACAAAGCTCTATAGCCCATCCTCCAGAGTTCAAATTCTCTGTGTAATTCACCAGCTGTGTGCCCTGGGGCAAATTTTTAACCCTCCCTGGGCCTGAGTTTCTAAACAACAAGGATAATACTACTACTCACTTCATAGTGTTGTTGAATGAATAAGTTGATGAAATAAGTTTAAATTTCTAAAACACTTAGCACAGTGCCTGGAACACATGCTGTACTTTATGTTGTTGTTAGCTGACTCATGACGACCCCATGCACAATAGGATCTAAACAAAATGCTGCCCAGCCCTGTGTCACTCCCATGATTAGATACAGAGCAGAACCTTGTGATCCATAGGGTTTTCATTGGCTGATTTTCAGAATTCAATCTCCAGGCCTTTCTTCCTAGTCCCTCTTAGTCTGGAAGCTTCCCTGTTTAGCATCATAGCAACACACGGACAGGTGGTGGCTGTTCCTGAGACACACTGACCAAACCAAACCTGGCTAGGTCTCCTGCATGGAAGGTCAGAATTCTATCACTGAAGCATCAATGTCTCCTTGCTCTCTCTATAAATGAGCCAATAGTTTTATTTACCCTCTCTGTTTCCTCATGTGTAAAATTAGGAGGGCTATGCCTACCCATCACTCAGAGTTGGGAGAGTCTGATGAAACAGTAAATGTGAAAATCTTTCATAAATAAGCATTACAAAAATGATAACTGAAAGACAATAATTACCCAAATATGTAGTATGTTTGTTATATAATTTATACAGATGTTCATTATTTTAAGGGGGAGATATATATATGTGTTATGTGCGGTCAAATCGGACCCGACTCATAGCTACCCCTCCTTGGGTTTCTGAGGCAGTATCACTATGGAAGTAAATTGCCCAGTCTTCTTTTCAAGGTTCAAACCCACCAGCCTTCTGGTTTCTGCGTAGCAGTCAAGTGCCTTAGGCACTGTTACCAAAGCTCCCCTTGAGCTATATTGAGATTATATATATATAAACTCATTGCCGTCGAGTCTGATCTGACTCATAGACTTCTAACCTCCCAAACTGTAAATCTGTTTGTTAAAGTTGTGAAATTTTCTGTTAGAGTGGCAAAAAGTAACAAAAATAGTGTCTTATTCAAGATCATATAGCTATGATTCAAACCTTGGGTTTCACTACAGAAGTAAATTGCCCAACCTTCCTTCCTAGGAGTAGCTGGTGGGTTTGAACTGCCAGCCTTCTGGTAGCAGTCAAATACCTTAGGCACTACGCCACAGGAGCGTATATATATAGGACCCCATGCACAATAGGATCTAAACAA